TGACGCTTTGATAAAAGTATGTTGCCTTCCTTATTTATGTTCGCAAATCTTTGATATTTGCGTCGAACTCTGTGATCTTCAGAGTCGCCTTCGGGTGTGTCTGTTTCCCGATCTGCATCAATATCAGATGGGTTTGTGCTGGCTCCATGGTTGCCACAACCTCCGCTCAAGTTCCTGAGCTTTAATCGGAGGCACTGAACCTCACTTGACACTTCCTTGACCTTTTCCTCCAAGTCTTTCTCACTGCAGTTTAGCGTTATACACAAGGCTGCAATCAACTTGTAGTAAGTGAAGTATTTATCAAGGCAACGCCCCAGCTTTTCTGGTGACATCAACCCAGCTTTTGCAAGGATCTCCAATGTCTCAGAGTCAATCTGCGTTCCTCCTAGGTCACCTCTTGTGCATACAGAACTTTCGAGGATTACTCTTAATTTCTGTTCTGCGATTTCGATTTGCTCTTCTAGCCTTGTCAAGAACGCTTTTCTGCGTTTGTCATCTGTGCGAAAAAATGCGCTTAGTTCTTTTTCGCACTCTATGTTTACGAGGTTTAAGCTATCATGTACTTCCTTGTATATCTCTGCCATAGACGGGATTCGCTCTTCTCCCCGTTCACTTATCACCTCGTTATCTGTACACGGCTGGGCTCTATGTTCCTCTTCCTCATTTATCATGCCACTCAAACCTTTACACAACAAACTCTGTTTGAGTGTAGGACTCGATTGAACGCTACAAGCGAGCGACGTGAAACTCGAGTACACACAGCAATGCACCGAGTAGCTCCACCAAACTTCCGTGAAGTATGGTTCTGCGATGCTACGCACTCGCAGTAGTTCTTGCAATTTGTATAAGCGGCCCTAAGCGCGCTCTATACCGTCAACGCTAATCGACCAATAGATCGATAGGTTACGCGGGGATACGTCCGCCGCCTCAGAAATCAATATGCAGACCACTGGTGCCCCAATCTATCGGTCTAAGACGCGATAGGCTTATGCGGGATACAATCGCCGCTTCAAATCGATTTGGAGGTCGTTGACGCTCCAAAATTCAGCTTCTTCTGGAAGGTCTTCGACGTTTCCACAGTTGTCGGTGCTAAGTCAGCGGTTCGGCCCCCAAGTGGCGGTAGGACGGTCTAGACCGCAGGTTCCACTGACTTAGCAGAACAACTGGTAAAAATATAATGGTTTATCACAAAATATGACAAACCACAAAAGAAGCTGATATGCAAATACAGAGAATAAGAGTAGCACAGAAGAGCTAATACAGAACAGTGAAGAGAGAAACTGTTGAGGAGCTATTGAGGAACTATTGAGGAACTAATATTGAGGAACGAACTAGACATCTCAGAACGGACATACGAGATATGGTGCTTCGTACATCCCATGGGTTGGGTTCAAGACTAATAGTGTGACAAAAAACCTAGGCCGGGCGCCTGGAGGCTACAGAACCGATTTGGACCAAACTTGGCACACATATACTTCGGGGCGGGGAGCGTGTCATAGGCCACTTTTTGTTATCGATCAATATGGATTTTATCGATTTTTTGCAAAATTTGAGCTACGGGGCTGGGAATTGGCACAGGGGGGTAATCGAGCATGCTGATTACAAATATGTTATTGACAGGGCCGGGCGGAGCCGAGTTTGCCAGCTAGTTACCAATAAAAATCGAGAAAAACCTGGAGGAAAAAAGATGTCGAAAATTGATTTTTTGGCTCTTTGGATTTTTTGTTTCAATGATAAAGTCTTTACCAATTTCCTGCTATGTTGGTGAATGATGCATATGAGCCTGCAGAGCAGACTTAGAGCTTTTAAAAGCATATACACTTTATCTCAAATATAGTCAATGTTTTCAAGAAAAAACTAAAACAAATGGGGCAGAACTTATTACACGACCTAATAAAAGCCACCTGTCGTGGGTCGCTTAACCCCTAAAAAAAGAGGTTACAGAAAAACAAAGTCAGTATAGATAGAAAAATGCATAAAAACCATTGAAGGCGGGATGAAAAGCGAACTGAAGGCATGCGCTGCGTGCGCGGCGCGGAGGTACATATGGGAACCTGGCCGGGGTCCACACTATACAAACCATCTCTTCATCTTATCATTTACTAGATGGCAAACCCGCCTCCGCCCGGGGCCAAACTTTGCACACATACACTTCGGGGCAGGGAGCGTGTCATAGTCCACTTTTCGTTATCGATCGATGTCGATTTCACCGATTTTTTGCAAATTTTGAGCTACGGGGCTGGGATTTTGCACAGGGGGGTAATCGAACATGCTGATCACCCCCACGGGGGTGATCAGCATGTTCGATTACCCCCCTGTGCAAAATCCCAGCCCCCTAGCTCAAATTTTGCAAAAAATCGATAAAATCGACATCGATCGATAACGAAAAGTGGACTATGACACGCTCCCTGCCCCGAAGTATATGTGTGCCAAGTTTGGTCCCGATCGGTTCAGAAGTAAAAATTTCTATTCCGCACATACGTACAGACAGACATACAGACATACATACAGACAGACATTCAGCTTTATATATAAGATTTTTTTTGACAAGCAAGTCTCGCAAATGAAAGGCATCTAGATCACGGAAGCTTATTTTCCGCTACTTTTGGAGTTCAGAAAGAATATCGGACACGTTACACAAATTTTGTTTGAGCTGCCAGTTGAAGAAGAAGTTCCTGTTTCTGACAAAAATTGATAAATACATTGCAAGCTCAGCTTATCTTGCAATTTTTCGAATAGCTGCGACCGATACGACGTTCACGATCTGACAGCCCTATGGCACAGGAGATGTGTGCACTGTCGTTGACATCTCTCCCCAAGAAATCTTTTGCCACCTACCCCATGCAAAGCTGACTTCATCTTACGGGTGAAGGATACCGAGTGTCGCACTGGCGTTTAGCAAGATGTACATCATTGGCCCTTCGGATGCTGATAACATACTGCTTTTTCAATCTGGGAAAGTTCTCTCAAGGAAGCCACGGACTTCTGGTTCTATAGGTCTAGCCCTTTCTGCACAAGAAACGAGTATATGCATAATTACTGCGGTAAAAATGTTTCGAAGCGCGATCATAACGCAAACTACCGATATTCGCTATTCAAGATGATTTTCAGATGATATCCGAAAGTTTGCAAAGAACGCAAGAGCGACATGTGAGCATAGGATGTGAGTTGGTCTGTGAGTAAAACGGACTGCTCTTTCTGCTGCGCCATCAACATTTGCAGTGATGCTGCTTCACTAACAATTTATTCGAGTAGAGACGGAGCAAAATCCGTACATGGATTCGTAACCAGGGCTCGGCACGAGCTGGCTTTCCGAAAATGCAAAAAACGAAGTCCCCTGACTTTTTTTGAACCCTTATCAGAACCGACTAAAAAAATCGAAAAAACCGAAACGCCGTGAAAACTTAACCTTACTTGTGTCCCTTCCCCCCCAAAAAACGATATCCCCTTTGCTTTTTGTCCAAAAACGATATCCAGCTCGCGTATAAGCCACCTGTGCCAAGGCCTGTCCGTAACTTCTTTCACAAAACCGTTTTGCGGCTTTGAAAAGTAGATATGTTGTCAATGTTTGTCAGTGCTTTGAAGGCACCTTCCACCCAGATTCTCGATTCTAGGTTTTTGTTGTTTCAGGGCCTTCTCATGTCCCTGATTCCAAATATGAAGTCGAGAATCCGCAAAAACCCCAACAATCCCCATTCTGGAGAGTCCACAGGCCGGCTTTTCAGAACGGTGATTGGATGAGCGCGCACAAGTGGGCGGGTATGGATGGGGAGAGGCGGGCATGGATGGGGGTCCTCGTGCATCTTCGCTAATCCGAAGCGATTTTCTCGCTTCCGAAGCTGCATATTGCGCCGCGACTTGGGCCTTGGCTTGATAGGAGGCCCTACTGTTATATACTGCCAAAAGCTCAACTCACTCAACTTAGGGTGGACGGTGCCTTTAAAGGGACCTTAATGTTGTACATTTCCTTGCTGAACGCTAGTGTGAGCCGATATACCTCCCTCAGATATATATTAGGGTGGACGGTAAAAAATGGGACAGCTTGTTTTTTTACATTTTGAGGTTTTTGTTCCCACCAACAACAAGCAAGCTGACTCAAACGTCGCTTGCATAAACGACCTTCGCCTATTATTCTGGCAACGCGTTACCGCTCCTCTCTCATAACCGTACGCGAGGCGCCATGAAGAACTCATACAGGGTTTTTGGAACATCGCTCATTCTTGCGCTGCAATACCGTAAAGTCGTAAAGCAGATGACATACCATTCGAAAGAGCTCCTCATGCTCTTTCAAACAATATGTTAAATGCACGAGATTTTTCTTCAATTTCAGAAAAGAAAGCGAAAAAAACCTGAAAAATAGCTATTTTCGGTGCAATGAAAAACCAAAAAATCATGTTTTGCCCTACATCTTCCAAAGATAGATAAAATCTGTAGTAAGCTGCATATGGATGGATAGAGCGTAAAAAGCTCTATCAGATGTTACCTGGAAGACATGCGTTCACCTGCAAAGAATTGAATAACGCCTATCTTTGTTTTCGAAGCTGCTAATGGCCATATCTCCTGACTTTCTAAGTTGAGACATACTGCATCCGCTAATAAACTTTAGGATGTTTTTCGAAAGGCATGTTTTTTTCACATTGGGGGTAGTGCTGGAGAAAATTTAGTGTAAGAAAAGCGAAAATGGAAGAGACGGGATTTTGGCTGGTTCCTAATCTTGAAGTTGCGGTTACGGAATGGGACCTCTCATGTGGCAAAGAAGTAGTATGCTTTGTGTTGGGAGCAAAAAGAGGTACATAGCTCAATCACCTTCAAAACACAGTTAACACATTGACGACAACGTGACCCACATGGTGGGTCATGCAATGTCTGCCACCTGGGACAATGTGACCCACATGGTGGGTGATGGCTCGAATTTTTTGAAAAGTCTTGTGTTTTGGAATGCAATCGTTTCAGACGGCTTCGTAACCTACTATGGCAAATGTCTCTATTTCTTCTCTTAGGTTGGTCGCATTATGGCACAGCTATTCGCTCGCGAGTTAGTGTCGCGCAACGCTATTCCAAAAACTATTTTCTGCTCACCAACATTGGCGAGTTTGCAAACTGCAACGGATATTCAGAACTATATTGGGTGAGTTTCAATCAGCATTACAAAAAAGGACAATTCTTGCTTTTGCAGGAAAGAATGTGGGCCCACATGTATCGATGCATCACTGGCTTCCGATAGAAGTAGTGCACAACACTGGTTGGGTGAGAAGGAACTGTCCAAGCTCAAGTTCCACATAAACAACTCCTACAGTCCCATCGAAGTTGAGGTGAGTATGAAAGGAGCGTTTGAAAAGTTTTTGAATTTGGAATTTCTCTCATTTGCAGAGTTTCGGTTTGACGAACTGTTAAAGAGTGTAGATGCACACCCCATAAGCCAATCGCGACTTGGGAAATGGCTGAAATGCATCTGAATGGCTGATGAACTGCGCAACCACGCCCATCCTCGAATATAAAAAAATGCCTTTCTACGAATCTGAACGTGTTTAAACAAGTTCCCTCCTAGCTGAGAGAAAACACAGACTGAGCACCACCAAACTTACTTTTGCTTTTCAACAAACATCTAAGAGAGGGGAAAGGGGAAAAGGAGAGGGGGGGGGTGGAGAGAGAAAAGAGGGGTGAGAGCAGACAAAGGCTATAACGCCTAGAGGAGGAGTCATCGTCCTAAAGCGGACAGTGAAAATAATTAACATGCGTAAACTACGCCTCTCCAAATTTTTCACGCATTCAATTTTATTGACTTTTTTACGAACTGTTTCCATGGAAGATGAAGCTCGGTGCTCGATGCTAACTATTTCTCTCTACCATTGATTTTTTAGGTGAATGACAACGGTTTGAAAAGCATTGCTGAAGGCATGGTGAAAGTGATCCCCAAGTTATCGGACGCACAAGGCATAGGTTTGTTCTCACTTTTATGACTTTTTAAACCCTAATCCGATCTTCGATTCCAATCTTCTTTACAGTTCTTGTCATAACGGATTCGATGGCTGTGAAAATGCTGAGAGATCTGTCGACAAATTATGATCCTGGGGATCGCACTGAAAAGGTTAGTGCGATATTATTTTGTCTTTAGAGTCTCGCTTCGTAGAGGAGACTATTTTTGAAGCAAGAGTTTGAATTTAGGATCTCCGTGGAAGCGCAGCTCACGGTTACCCCGCAATGTCGTCAATCGTCCTGAATGTGCGTCAATCGCGTAACGGCAAGGTACAGTTTCTTCTCTTTTTTTTCTTTAGCGAAGAGCTTTTAAAACATGAGCGTGCTTCTAAACTCGGTTACAAAATTTATGAAGAAGCATCTATTTGTATTCTTTCAAATACTGATCTTTATGAACAGGCAGAGATTTGAAAACGTTCATTTTCAAAAGACACATAATCAGTTCAAAGAGTATTACTCCCTCATTAGTTGCTTAGCTCCTGTAAGATGTACGAAATTTATTTGCGTGCTTGGAATTCTTTTGCTACCAATGCAGCTTTGCTCGGAATCCTACTAAACCCCATTTTTTCTAAGAGATTTGTTCCGACTTTCATGGGATGTTCCATGTCATCACATATACATATTTTTGCAGACATTTGGATTCAAAAAACGTCTTCGAAATATTTATTTTTCAGAAACGTATCTACCCCTCTCGTCTCTTTATGCGTCCTCTGACATCCATTGGTGAATGTACCCAGACCGACTTCGACATCGACAACTATAGAGCCAAGACATAAAGATCGATAATTGATTTTATTGATCGGTGAAAGAACTAAATCGATCATTAAACGCTTTGGTCGTAGTATCGCATTCACACTAATAAAACCAAAAAAGGGTCTGCTACAAAAGACCAACCACAACAACACAGTGACCAGTCTATTAGTTTTCCCACAGCGCATCAAATATACTATCGTTGGCCGAAGTTATTTTTGAGGAAGCGGCACGAGAGATGGAGTAACAGAAAATGGAATAAAAGGCTGTAGACTCACTCCTTACTTCAAAATAATCATAAAATTTCCTGAAAGCTCTTCAATTTATCGCAGGCTTGCGGCCTTGAATTATTGAAGAAGTGGTGACGTCCGCTATCAAAAACTTAATATGTTATCATGAGACTCATACATATTAGGTTGGCACATAGGTTTCGCAATTTCTCCCATAACATTTCCTTCTCGCTCTAACTTTTTTGGAATTATATGGACAGTGAGGTAAACCCCAAGACTACAAACTGGCTTTTGATAACATTATAGAGAAATCTTAAAAAAACTGTTGAAAATTGAGGCGTGGGTTTCAAGCAAAATGAATCCGTGTGCAAAGGGAACTGAACACATCAATTTAATGCAAGCAGGATGTTGCGAGAGGTTGTTATTGAACCCGTCGTCAGCAAGCAATGAATTTCAGATTATAACCAATCGTTGCTAAGATGAAAAATCTTAACTTTACGAAAGAGAATCTTCCATGCCAAATGGGTATTATGTCTGTAATCAGCATGTCGAATGACCTCGCTCCTCCCAACCAAATTTCAGCAAATTCTGAAGCACTCCGAAAATTTCCTCTCTCATAACGTTAAATCTAGTATAACCTTTACTTTACAACGGCGAAATTCGCAAAAATGGCCGCATTCGTAGCCTACACCACAAAATGAAGTTGAATTTAACACATTCAAAAAGAAATGAAGTTGTACGAAAAGTCTGCGCTTATGCGCCAACCTAGTAGATGTTTACAGCATAGCAACAGTAATATTTATATGAATCTAACATCTTAAACTGCTGCCAAACATTTCGTTACCGTCTTTGGGGTGAGTGGGGTGCGAAATCGAATAGAACAAATTATTTCTCAATTTTTTTTTTTTGAAAGAGCTGTACACATCTACAGCAGGATCATACCACGTTGTAACTCAGCCTAAAGGTAAATATGTCAGCGTTCAGCTATTTAACCGATTAGCTGAACTGCCCGCCTTTGTATCTGGTAGGTGTACACCCTCTCATGTGTGATTGTGAAGAAAAATTAGGAACCTTTCTTGAAAACTCTATTGGTTTTCACTCATTTTGGATTAAAATAATCAATAGCGGGAAGCAAACATACCCAAATTTTCAACTTTCCCACCATAGTTTTCGAAAGGCCCATAAATGTAATCTTTTGCTCTCTGGATTTCTCCGACGCATATGCTTCACATGCCTAAGCACACGTTTTGTGACAGCTGCGGCATGCTTTTTTGATGTGCCCTCGAAACGTCTCTGGAATGAACCTCAGCCGAAGGCGATGCATCGGCTTGAAATGTTTCATCAATAACTTTTTCTTTGTCATTTGCATTCCTTTCCGGATTATATTTTCATTACAAGATTCTGCTTCACCGACTGACATTGCGCTTGAAATGGCAGATGCGGAAGCTTCTGTTTAATATTGAAAACATCAAATCTACACATCTCATGGAAATTCCGAGAAATGTGAGCAAAAAAGAAAACGTGCTGCAGCTGAAGGATTTGTGCTCGCGGGAAATGCAGCATCAAGTATTCTGCGCCTTTGTCAAGTTTATAATACATAAGCGAAAATCTATATATTAGGTTGGTGGATGATTTCTGTTACATTTTTTTGTAAAATATTTGGAGGGGGCACACAACAGTATGACTGATGCCGCATGGGCACAAATAGCTAACAAGTTTACGACAACTTTGTAAGCACACCCAAAAGTGTAATTCTTTTCTTTGATTTTCTACGCTGAGTCTAATTGTATTTTTTCTCTCCTAAAATTTTTTTAAATATATTTTTGCACTGTGTCTTTTATGGCAGCACTTTGATGCCGCTAGCATGTCAAAAATGAGTGGTGAAAAATAAGTTAGAAAAACTAAAAATTGGTCGAAATTTTTTCTTTTTGTGTGCATCATGTAGAATTTAATACGGAGAGGGCGCAAATATTATTTGTAAATTTTAAAAATTGTTCTTCATATTGAACTGACGATGTCGTTGACATGGCCATGCAACTGTGCACGTTGCGGACATGACTGACATGATTCCCCTATATTCACTAAAAAGTGTGGACTATACCCTGCTCGACTGCCACATCGCCCGGTCTGTACCTGATCATCTGGAAGAATGCTAGCCAGTTGACAAAAATGTCCATAAAACGTACTCCCACCAGTAAAGCGGGCGTTTTGCATATGGACCACGGCCTAACAGTACTTATGGGTAGACCTTTGCACCCCGTCAACACTCCCTGAACATAGGAATTTTTGGAAGTTTCTTAGATTTTTCAGAAATAAAAATAAAAGTGTAACAGAAATTATCTGCCAACCTATTAGTTCCATCTACATGTTTTTGCTGAGTGCTGATTTTAGCATTACTATATACATGCTTTATGTTCGTGTCCCTTATAAAATGACTCCTCACGAGGCTTTGGGCAAAGGCCACCGCTTCTCGGATGCAATATAACAGTTAACAATTGGCCACAATTTGAAAATCTTTTTGGTGCAATCGCACCACTTCAAACAAGCACTGAGCAGGGACGGTGGCGGCATTATATGTTTCAAAGAAGGTACAGAACCAAAAAAAGCTACGCAGAAAAATTTAAAGTAAGCAAATGATTGTCATTTCAATCCAATGATTTGCCAGTGCAAAAATGGAAAGTAGTGAGATCACATAGCGACTGCTAAAGTGAAAAATAAGCGCATATGGTACCTTCAAACAAAAACTCGTGTCTTTAGGATGGCTAAAACATATCAACTATTGAGAGGATTTTCGGGCTACATAGCATGTTGATGCTCCTTGTACGCCCTTACACCTTTTCCTTTGAAAAAAATTGTATTTTTGCCAGTTCCTATGGCTATGTCATAGCTCACTTCTTCCTTTTCAAATGGCATTGCAATGTTTATGCTCGGTGTGTCGTCTTAGGCCTATCTATCGCATATTTGTTTAGTGTCACAGAAAGGAAGACGTTTCTGGCGAGATTTGCGCCATTGATCTTTCAACCATTGCTGTCTGTCTCTCAAAGCAATGTTGTGATTCTGTGCAAGGTCTGAAATTTTTATTTAAAGACAATTTCAATCATAACTTTTACACAAAGTAGTCGACTATCTGTTATGCTTTTGTGCATGGGAACCATCCATTTCTTACCTTCAATGCGCATAAATTTTGAATACCAAAGCTCCAGAGCTTTCTCACGACATGCCAATCAGCATACAGTCGCGATGTATGTGAGTCACAATCGCTCTTTTGTATTCGTTCTCCATCAACATTGTCAAGCTTGAATATATGTTCTGCTTGTACACTGCAGTGCCTTGCTCTTGGCAAATGAAAACTCTAACCTTGCCTTTGCACCCTTTATTTAACACAAAAAATTGATTCACGCTGAATTCAGCTCGCATATGGGCTCAGTCAGATTGAATTATCTTCAGTTGTTTCCCAAGTAGTGTATGCTGTGTCAAGCAAAAGCCCTCTATACGCAAGAGCGGTAAATAAGAGTAGTATTTATTTTCCTCAATAGTGTTTATGGATGTGCTTCGTAGTCTTTAATAACAAAAAAACAACCACCGCAAAGCAAGAATGTCATCCGAGCTTTGGACAATAGCAACAGCAAAGGATGGCCGCTTTTGCATAAATAAACGCGGTAGCAAGATAAACAGAGGGAGCAGGATCAGTAGAAGAGGGTGATGGACAAATATTTTGCATTCTAAGTCATATCAATATGTAAATAGCCATTCTGTAAAATCCACGCATTTTTGTGTTCGGTAGTCAGTTTTCGCATAACAATAACCTGCACAACCAAAGGATTTTTCCATTGACCTGCTTAGCATACTCTTAAAACGTACAAACTGATCTGAAACGTCTTTTGGTTGTCCGCAGTCACCTTTTCGAGTTTATTTGATTTATTTGACTGTTCGTCGTTTCAAACACTTAAAAAATCCGATATATCACTGATATCGGCGTCATTCAATTAATCCTTCAGTAATCACAATCATTCATCAAATCGTCAAATCATTTAACATTTCCTCTTACTCTTCACATCCTCTCTTGAAACACTTCATAGCTTTCATCATTCTGTAAATATAGCTCATAGTTCTTCCATTCATGTAATCCAAATCAGCTGCTACCTGCTTCGCAGAAAATTTTGAATGTTTTCTCTATATTTCAGAGCTTTGAGCCTGTATGAAAATGTTTTCAAAAATATTAGGGAAAGAAACGACGAAAGCATTCATCTAGCCATAATATTAGGTTGGTTCATAATCAGTACACGTTCTCGCTACCTCTTCTTTCAAGCGCTAGTTTTTGAAGTAAAACTATCATTTTTCGAAGCCCTTGGGGCTACTTGAAAATACACTATTTCTAATTCTCACATATAATTTCGTCTTCGAAATTTTTTGTTGAAACCAAATATGCAGGCCTTCAAAGTTCAGGAATTGAAACTTAAATTATTTTTTTATTCTACCTGCTCTAAATTCATGGGAAATGCTCAGATTTGTTTCAAAAAATGTATGTCATAATTGCGAAGACTTTTGCTACAAAATGCTTACCAAGGCTAAATTTTTGAAAAACCTTGGTCCGAAAAGCTTTGATTCGAACCTGGCTGATGGCTGAGAATAATCCAAGCTGCATAGAAAGCTTAGATGTGAAGCAATTGCAGAACTTTCGCCCTCCTCAGGTAGGCTGAATCTGAGTACACTAACGATAAAAAACGGCAGGATCTTCTCGTTATCAGAAGTAGAAACTTCTAAAAAACACAATTTTTTGCTCTTTTCGGACTGCAGAAAAAATTGGATAGCTTCTAGTTCCCTGGTAATATTATTTGCAGAATTTTTCCGTAAAATTCAA